TCGGATGAAGTCGTCAACACAAGCTTCATCCACAACAAAATTCTCTATCAGATCAACACCATGCTTTATTTTCAAAAGTCTCTTGTCTACCCGACCCCAAGCATCAGACAATGCTTTTGACCCCAACTAAGATCTAAATTTACATTTAAACACTACCTCTCAACCCCATAGTGATACAAAACTCAGCGGAATATGTACTAATCAATGCCCGATGTGTACTAATTGTCTCCAACAACAAAGGCATTCTTGTCTTCCCGATATGTACTAATCAGTGCCTAGACTCTTGTATGGGTGATTGTTAAATCAGACATATTCATAAAAAATAAAACGGGCTCTTTTGAAGAGCTTGCTTATATGGGTGAGGAAGAACAACAAGAATCTTTTTCATGATATCTTTAAAATATGAAGGGGCACATCTGCATCTAAGTTCATTTCCTATCACAAAACTATAAAATATTTTATGTTAATTACATGGAGCCCTAATTCAAAAAGAGTCCCAAATAAAAAATGATGAATCCTAGATCATGCAAAGAGCCATAATTTATCCATAAAATTCGTAATTGGTGGAATATAAGTCAAATTCGAAATTCATTAGCACCATATAGATAACAAATCTCTAATTCTGAAAAATTTCGAAATCAAGAGCAAAATCAAAATTTGAAAAAAAAAATCCCTAAAGCTTGAATTCTAAAAACTTGCCTTATTTGTTGTCTTGGACGTAGAGGAGAACAGAAATTCGGATGGAGATCTTTTTTGGGAGCCCACCATTGGTGTTTGACGGGCCGACGACAGATTGTGGAGGTCGAGGGTCGAGCTTCACGCTTCACAGAGGTCGAGGACCGTCGGGGTTTTGGTCGAAATTGTTTTGAATCCGGCGGTGGAATCGTGTTCATAGAGAGAAAGAGAGAGAGAGAGAGAGAGAGAGAATCATATAATTAGAGAGAGAATGAGAAAATTTATTCAAGTTATTATGATTTTCAAGTAAAATAAATAATTGATAATAATATTAATATATATTCAGGGACTGAATACGAAAGAGAAGATTTCTGTAGGAAGTGTAGTGGAAAAAAAAAGACATATGGTCTGAACGGGAAAATGATAAGGGGGTTGAAGATGATTATTATTATTATTTTTATTTTTTTGAGAACTATCCGCAAAAGGAGGGTAGGGGGTTAAGGCCGAACCTCCAACTTGTATATAAACAAGGTCCTAAATGGGTTGAAAAAGTCACAGTCTACAATACCAATGTTCGATATACATCGAGTCAAACGAAAACAAATAAGAAACAAGAAAAGAGATACAAAATAGCAAATAACACAAAATGTGTCAAATCCTGGTCCAAAGAAAGTCCAGGCAAAATTCCACACCACAGAAAGCCAGAGACATCAACATGTATGGACAACTATGCAAATCGGAATGAGGGTATCCCATCTGGTCCATCCGTATAAGAGTATGGAGTCGAAGAGGAATATCGTTAGGATGGAGGATGAGCCTCTGGGTGGTGGAGGTCCCAATACCAGCGAGAAAGTCAGCAGGTTGATTCCCCTCGTAGAAGATGTGCGAGATCTGATAGCGAATCAACTGAAGTGTAGCTCTGATATGCATGAGAGGATGCTGAATATGCCACGGGTCCTGATGGCAAGAGGTCAAGAGTGTGATGTCAACAGCAACGTCCAACTCTATCCAAATGTGAGAGGAGATCGAGGCGTAAATTTGTAGGCCGATCCTGAACCTCTGCGTCATAGCTCGAGAAGGCCCGAAGAGGAGCATGGAAAGCTGTTTATTGTGTTTTTGTGCTTATTTTCATGTATTTTGTGTGCTTTATTTTATAGTTTTTAGGCTCGTTTTAGTGTCGATCGGTCCATTTTATCGTGTTTTGTGTATTTTTGTTATTATATAGTGTTTTCGTATTTTTGCGCGTTTTCTCTTTTGTTTTGGTGTTTTGTAGGCCTGGAAGAAAAAAAGTCATTTGTGATGTACCGTCCGAGTCGTTCGAGCCATTGTCGAGTCATTACCGTGCAAGAGATCCGAAAGCCCAGTCCGCCTAGCGAACGAGTTCGCCGCATAGCGAGTGTGCTCAAGACTCATAGGACCAATCCGCTTAGCGAACGAGTTCGCCGCCTAGCGAGTGTGCACAAGACTACAAGACTAGTTTGCCTAGCGAACTAGTTCGCTACCTAGCGAGTGCTAAATTTTTAAATGTGTGTGCACCTAGTGTGTGTTTTTGTAGGAGACTATATATATATTTTTTCCTTTGTATTTTGAAGAACAACTCTCATTTCCCAACTTTTAAGTTGGGAAAATCCTCTCTATTTCTCTTTTTTCTTTTTTATGCTTGGGTTAGGAGCTCTATTA